GACTGACGATATGGCTGTATGTCATGTGATTATTACTGGTACAGCGGTATGTGCTCCAGGGATTCAGTGCAATACGGCCAATATAGTAGTACTATATATGTATCGGCCTCTAATAGAATAAGCGCTGGATGTATGTACCTCCCTGTAAAACAAATCTAATAGAAGAAGCACTGTATTTATGTAACTAATGTAACACAAATCTAATAGAAGCAGCACTGTATATATGTAACCAATGCAACACAAATCTAATAGAATAAGCACTGTATGTATGTACCTCCCTGTAACACAAATCTAATAGAAGAAGCACTGTATTTATGTAACTAATGTAACACAAATCTAATAGAAGCAGCACTGTATGTACCTCCCTGTAACACAAATCTAATAGAAGAAGCACTGTATTTATGTACGTCCCTGTAACACAAATCTAATAGAAGCAGTACTGTATTTATGTAACCACTGTAACACAAATATAACACTAGGGAACAGTGCAGTGTAACAAACTGAATATAACACTAGGGAACAGTGAAGTGTAACAAACTGCATATACCACTAGGGAACAGTGAAGTGTAACAAACTGCATATACCACTAGGGAACAGTGAAGTATAACAAACTGCATATACCACTAGGGAACAGTGAAGTGTAACAAACTGAATATAACACTAGGCAACAGTGCAGTGTAACAAACTGAATATAACACTAGGGAACAGTGAAGTGTAACAAACTGCATATACCACTAGGGAACAGTGAAGTGTAACAAACTGCATATACCACTAGGGAACAGTGACGTGTAACAAACTGCATATACCACTAGGGAACAGTGAAGTGTAACAAACTGAATATAACACTAGGCAACAGTGCAGTGTAACAAACTGAATATAACACTAGGGAACAGTGAAGTGTAACAAACTGCATATACCACTAGGGAACAGTGAAGTGTAACAAACTGCATATACCACTAGAGAACAGTGAAGTGTAACAAACTGCATATACCACTAGGGAACAGTAAAGTGTAACAAACTGAATATAACACTAGAGAACAGTGAAGTGTAACAAAGTGCATATACCACTAGGGAACAGGGAAGTGTAACAAAGTGCATATACCAGTAGAAAACTGGGAAGAGTAACAAACTGCATATAGAAGTAGGTAACATGGAAGTGTAACAAAGTGCATATACCAGTAGAAAACTGGGAAGTGTAACAAACTGCTTATACCAGTACGAACAGGCTAGTGTAACAAACAGCATATACCACTAGGGAACAGGGAAGTGTAACAAACTGCCTATACCCCTGAAGCAGCAAAGCATTGCCTTGTTTTAACGAAGTGTTTCCCTCACCTGTAAAGAAGTAAACCTACCCGAGTAATAGGTGCACAAATGGGGTAAGTGGAGGCGGGTGGGAGGCGGGTGGTGTGGATGGGGTTAGTGGGAGTTGGTGGATAGATAGGGGTGAGGTTGAAGGGGTGGATGGGGTGAGTGGAGGCGGGTGGTGTGGATGGAGTGAATGGGAGTTGGTAGATAGATGGGGGTGAAGTGGAGGCGGGTGGATGGGATGAGTGGAGGCGGGTGGGGTGGATGGGGGTGAGCGGAAGTTGGATGATAGATGGGGGTGAGGTGGAAGGGTGGAAGGGGTGAGTGGGAGTTGAGTAGATAGATGGGGGTGAGGTGGAGGCGGGTGGATGGGGTGAGTGAAGGCGGGTGGTGTGGATGGGGGTGAGCAGAAGTTGGATGATAGATGGGGGTGAGGTGGAAGGGTGGATTGGGTGAGTGGAGGCAGGTGGTGAAGATGGGGTGAGTGGAAGTTGATGGATAGATGAGGTAGGGGATCCGAGGTGAGTGTGGAAGGTGTGGATGGATGGCAGAAGTGGATGGATAGATGGGGGTGGGTGTGGGGTGGGGGAGTGGTGCAGTAAGTTGGTGGATAGATGGGGTGAGGTGGAAGGAGCTGGATTGGTTGAGGTGGGCGGGTGGTGTGGAAGGGGGGTGAGTGTGGAGGCAGGTGAGTGATGATGGGGATAGTGGAAGTTGGTGGATAGATGGGGTGGGGTGGAAGGGGGTGACTGGGGTGAGTGGAGGCAGGTGTGTGGATGGGGTGAGTGGAAGTTTATGAATAGATGGGGGTGAGGTGGAAGGGTGGATGGGGTGAGCAGGGGTGTGGGTATGGATGGGGTGAGTGGGAAGTTGGTAGATAGATGGGGTGGGGTGGAAGGGTGGATTGGGTGAGGTGGGCAGGTGGTGTGGATGGGGTGTGAGTGGAGGCAGGTGGTGATGATGGGGTGAGTGGGAGGCTGGTGGTGGTGGGATGGGGTGAGCGGAAGTTGGTGGATAGATGGGGAGTTAGGTGGGCAGGTGAATGGGCTGAGGTGGGCGGGTGGTGTGGATGGGGTGAGTGAAGGCGGGTGGTGATGATAGGGTGAGTGGAGGCTGGTGGTGTGGATGGGGGGTGAGGCGGAAGTTGGTGGATAGATGGGGTTAGGTGGGCGGGTGGATGGGGTGAGGTGGGCGGGTGGTGTGGATGGGGTGGGTGGGAGAGGCAGGTGGTGTGGATGGGGGTGAGCGTAAGTTGGGGGATAGATGGGGGTGAGGTGGAAGAGGGGTGGATGGGGTGAGATGGGCGGGTGGTGTGTGGATGGGGTGAGTGGAAGTTGGTGGATAGATGGGGGTGAGGTGGAAGGGGTGGATGGGGTGAGTGGAGGCAGGTGGTGTGGATGGAGTGAATGGGAGTTGGTAGATAGATGGGGTGAAGTGGAGGCGGGTGGATGGGATGGAAGTGTAGGCGGGTGGGGTGGATGGGGGTGAGCAGGAAGTTGGATGATAGATGGGGTGAGGTGGAAAGGGGGATGGGGTGAGTGGGAGTTGGTAGATAGATGGGGTGAGGTGTGGAGGCGGGTGGATGGGGTGAGTGCAGGAGGCAGGTGGTGTGGATGAGAGGTGAGCAGGAAGTTGGATGATAGATGGGGGGTGAGGTGGAAGGGTGGATTGGGTGAGTGGAGGCAGGTGGTGAAGATGGGGTGAGAGTGGAAGTTGGTGGATAGATGGCGGTGAGAGTAGAAAGGTTGATAGGGTGAGTGGAGGCAGGTGGTGTGGATAGGGGTGAGCAGGAAGTCGATGGATAGATAGGGGTGAGGTGGAAGGGGTGGATGGGTGGGTGGAGGCGGGTGGGATGTGGATGGGGTGAAGCGTAAGTTGGTGGATAGATGGGGGTGAGGTGGAAGGGCTGGATTGGTTTGAGGTGGGCGGGTGGTGTGGAAGGGGGTGAGTGGAGGCGGGTGGTGATGATGATAGGGATAGTGGAAGTTGGTGGATAGATGGGGTGGGGTGGAAGGGGTGACTGGGGGTGAGTGGAGGCAGGTGTGTGGATGGGGGTGAGTGGAGGCGGGTGGTGATGATGGGGTGAGTGGAGGCTGGTGGTGTGGGATGGGGGTGAGCGGAAGTTGGTGGATAGATAGATGGGGTTAGGTGGGCAGGTGAATGGGCTGAGGTGGGCAGGGTGGTGTGGATGGGGTGAGTGAAGGCGGGTGGTGATGATGGGGTGAGTGGAGGCTGGTGGTGTGGATGGGGGTGAGCAGAAGTTGGTGGATAGATGGGGGTTAGGTGGGCGGGTGGATGGGGTGAGGTGGGCGGGTGGTGTGGATGGGGTGGAGTGGAGGCAGGTGGTGTGGATGGGGGGTGAGCGTAAGTTGGTGGATAGATGGGGGTGAGGTGGAAGGGGTGGATGGGGTGAGATGGGCGGGTGGTGTGGATAGGGTGAGTGGAAGTTGGTGGATAGATGGGGGTGAGAGTGGAAGGGGTGGATTGGGTGAGGTGGGCGGATGGGTGTGGATGGAGGTGAGAGTGGAGGCGGGTGGTGATGATAGGGGGTGAGTGAAGAGGCTGAGTGGTGTGGATGGGTGTGAGCGGAAGTTGGGTGGATAGATGGGGGTTAGGTGGATGGCGGGTGGAAGGGGTTGAGAGGTGGGCAGGTGGTGTGGATGGGGGTGAGTGGAGGCGGGTGGTGAGGATGGGGTGAGGAGTGGAAGTTGGTGGATAGATGGGGTGGGGTGGAAGGGGTGGATGGGGTGAGTGGAAGGCAGGGGTGTGGATGGAGTGAGTGGGGAGTTGGTGATAGATAGGGTGGGGTGGATGGGGTGGATGGGGGTGAGTTGTGAGAGGCAGGGGTGTGTATGGGGTGAGTGGGAATTGGTGGATAGATGGGGGTGAGGTGGAAGGCGTGGATGGGGTGAGTGGAGAGGCAGGTGGTGTGGATGGAAGTGAGTAGGAGTTGGTAGATAGATGGGGGTAGGGTGGATAGGGTGGATAGGGGTGAAGTGGAGGGCAGGGGTGTGGATGGAGTGAGTGGGAAGTTGGTGGATAGATGGGGGTGAGAAGTGGAAGGATGGATAGGGTTGGGTAGGAAGCGTGTGGTGTGGATAGGGAGTGAGCATAAGTTGGTAGATAGATAGGGTTAGGAGTGGATAGGGTGAGTGGAGAGCTGGTTGATAGATGGGGTTAGAGTGGATGGGTTGAGGTGGGCAGGTGGTGTGGATGGGAGTGAGTGGAAGTTGGTTGATAGATAGAATGGGAGTGGATTGGGTGATTGGAGCTTGTGGTTTGGATAGAGAGTGAGCTGACGTTGGTGGATAGATAGAAATTGAGAGTGGAAGGGAGTGGACAGGGTGAGTGGAGAGTGGGTTGTAGGAGTGGAAGTTGGTGGAGATGATGAGGTGAATGAGAGGAGAATGGATTTTGCGGGTGGGGGTGGATAGAGGTTGGGAAGGGCGAAAGGGTTCAGGTGGAGATGTTTTAACATTAGATTTGATCAAAAGAACCATATCTTCCAGTCTTAAAGATCACTGTTACTTGTGGCATTGAGTCTATCCCTTTACGAAAACCCCATTCAACCTGCTTTAGCTCTACTCGCCTAGATACTCAATACACACGTCAGTGAAGCTTAAACAGGATAGACGATATGGAAACATTTCACTTGAAAACACTAAACATTTTCAAACCGTATCCCCACTCACCTGTTTCCTGGGCTCCAGGTAAAGTCAAGTGTGTACCCGTGTTCTCCCGCACAGGTAACCACAGGTAGCACGGCTTGATTACAGGTATGTGGACACTACGGTTTCCACGTGTGGGCAGGTATTGTGTCGACACACAGGTAAGCTGTTAACGCAACCGTCGCCGTCATCGGTGAACGGGGAAACAGATACGTCGAAGTCAATCAAGACTACACTTAAGGAAAAGAAAAAAAAGGAAAATGGTGATTTGATTTATAGAGAGAGAGTGAAACTAAAAGGCACTGATTACCTGAGTAATGTTTGCTTGCAGGTGTAGATTATGAGGATTTAAGTTCTTTGACAAATGTTTTCCACTGACAGTATTAACTCAGATGTACGCCTGTTAAGACACTCGGCCGTATTAGAATTCATGAATGAGTGAACGAACGAACGAACGAAAGCCGCTTTTAGCAATATTCCTACAATATCAAGGCGGGGGACACCAGAAATGGGCTTGACACATTGTACCCATGTGGGGATTCGAACCCGGATCTTCTGCGAGACGAGCGAACGCTGTAACCACTAGGCGACGAACGGAAGAACGAATGAATGTAACACACACACAATAACACACCATACATGTGATACTATCCATTCGCATTTGAATGAAAACGAGGGGTGGTGGGGTAGCCTAGTGGTTAAAGCGTTGGCTCGGGTTCGATTCCCCACATGGGCACAATGTGTTAAGCCCATTTCTGGTGTGCCCCGCCGTGATATTGCTGGAATATTGCTAAAAGCGGCGTAAAACTAAACTCAGTCAGTCAGTGAATAAAAACGATGGCTTGTCCGAGTAAAATGACCTATGAGACACGTAAATACAGAACCACTTAAAACTAGATCTAACCGTATCACACACTGAAGGCACCGTCAACTGCATGGGGGATACAAATGCAGTTAGTTCTATGTAGAATTGGTTGTTTGTATTAATTAAAAATACTTCTGAGAGTTCTAAGTTAGATAATGCCAGGATTACGGATTTGGGACATAAACCAAAGGTCGGGTGTGGGTAATTAGAAAACTGGCGTGTATTTCGTGGCAGAATAAGCCCCCAGTACTCCATATGTGTCTCCCCGAAGTAATTCAGAGGACGACTTGGTCTCTGGTACCCATGGTTTTCCATCCGTGGAGATTCTGGGGCGGAATACGTCATAAGACCAATAGGATAAATATGACTCAAATGAAGATCGGGTGGTTTAAATGGACGTTATGGGTCATCATTAATTACAGACTAAATTATTTACAACCGACGCTGCGAAGCTGATGTACAGGTTATTTCACTAACTGTATCCTATTGCAAGATAACTGAATGGTCATTTTAGAAGAAGCATCTCATAATGAGCTTGTATCGTGTACGTGTATGTGACCACACGCGTCTTACTTGTAGGTTGATCACTGGATTGTCTGGTCTAGACACGATTATTTACATACTAGCGCTATGTAGCTGGAATATTGCTGAGTGCGGCGTAAAACTAAACTCACTCACTCACCCTTACCTGTAGAGGGTCGTCCGGGGTCTTCTAACGTCCGGGAAATGTCGTATGTTCACATAGGTAAACAATAATCATAACCTATCACATTCCAGCAAACACCACCGTATATCAAATCCTTCAGAGGGGTCGATACGCATGTGAGTAGTTTCCAGTTCTGTATGATCGTCAAGATAATAGAATTAGTTACGAACCACCGCGAACACAATAGCTTGTAGTCCACATCGCTACGTTGTGTTAGGTTGAATGTCTCTTCACAAGCCGCCCAACCTTGAACTGAATGACAACATTATTACGATAGTGTAGCACATTCCAAATTAGGAACACTTCAAGTCAGAACACTGGTCTTCTTCCGTCAAAATCTGTTCTCATATTCCACACATCACTGTCGCGGCTTTGTCAACGAACAAGCATAACTTGGATCTCTCAATCAGCGCACAACCACCTTCCGATCCGCCAAGACGCACTTCCAAACCAGCCTTCCATTTATAACGTAAATTAAATTTCTATATTAATCCCGCAGAAAATAATAGCTCCGCATAAAAAGTAATTATGGTATATCGAACTAACAGTACGGCCTGGGTAGATTCAATAGGCCTTTATCGTTTCCGTTCACCCCTCTATGGGTTTCATAGAATGTATTAGCTGCTAGCCGGGGTGGTTGTACGCAGAAAGCTTAGTCTCAGTGGGGATCGTATAAACGGATTGTGTAGTAAATAAGGCTCGCGGCGATTGAGTCGCACCTTGACTTGTGACCGCGGTATTTCGCGCTTATTGTCATGATCCTCGGAACGTCATGCGTGAAGGACGTGTGTTTGAATAGCATTGATGTTATTGACATGATAAATGATACCGAATCAGACCTGACAGGTTCCTGAATATATGTTTCTTGGGCCTACATTGCAACACAAAAGGGGGCCAACTAAAATATACTGCTCAATTATTATAATCAGATATGGGTTTCGGTTTGTTTTTTGTTGTTGTTGTGGTTGTTGTAGTTGTTGTTGTTAGCGCGGCACTTAACAATAGTCCAGCTATATGACGGCGCTCTGTAAATAATCGAGTCTGGACCAGACAATCCAGTGACCAACAGCATGAGCATCGATGTACGCAACTGGGAAATGATGACATGACATACTTCATACTCTTTAAATTGACATAACATTTTCATTTTACAATATTTGACATAATTTGTTAATCGGGCGGTGGGATAGCCTAGTAGTTAAAGTGTTCGCACACCCGAGTTCGATTTTCCACATAGGTACAAGATGTGAAGCCCATTTCTAGTATCCCCCGCTATGATATTGCTGAAATATTGCTAAAAGCGGCGTAAACCTAACCTCTATCACTTGGTATCTTGGTTCAGTTTGGAGCAGACCAATAGAACAGCTCACTCACTCACTTCGGAGACTTGACGAAAGGTCTTTAAATAGCACTCGTGTATGAAGTCTTCGAAGGGGCTAAAGCAGTGTCAGCGAGACCTCTGTTGAGATAACACCGTTATCGACCCCAACAGCGGTTGATAACTATAGGAAGATAATGGTTACACATGCAGCAAATTGTACCCCTAATCAGTGACGTGGATGTATATGGTTATCACGTCTGTCTCTGTCTAGTGACGGTTAACAGTCAGGATTCAGGTAGGTTCATGTACAGTTACTTTATAGGAATTAACATTGCCGATTATATTTTGAGTTATACTCAGTGGTGGGTGAGTGAATAAGTGTTTACGTCGCTTTCCGCAATATTCCCAAAACTGTGGGGACACCAGAAATGGGATTCATGCATTGTATCTATCTCGGGAATAGAACCCGGGTTTGCAGTGACGAGCGGACACTTTAGGCACTAGACTACCCCAGAGCCAAGTCAGTGGGGTTTAAGTGAGTGAGTGAATACTGTTCATACCAACACTTTTGCAGTTATTCTTGGCGAAAATATCTTTTGTTTTACATTATGGTAAACACAATCAAAGTGAAAACAAAATAAAATTACTTAAATGCCAGTTAAATATAATATTTTAGCGTAAAATCTGAAGTGGTGTTCACTGTTATTGCACTTTTCTAGCCGTGTGCATGCAGGTGCGTGCGAGCGTGCGTGAGTGAGTGTCGATGCTTGTACCAGTCCAGACTGGTCCGGTGTTATAATGCCAGCCGCTTTAGCATGGATACCCCTTACCAACTAATCATTTTACGAGGGGGTAACAATATCAGTTCAGAAAGCTGTAATTCTGTAATTATGAAACTTATACCCCAATATGCTTGACGCTAAGTGAATACACGACACATAGCTTTTGAGATATTGCTTTACAATAAATGAGTTTATGCTTTACACTTGCATTCCAGGAATGATTGCCTGGACACCAAAATATTAATATATTAGAAAAGGTCCCTGGATACACGTGGTGCTGAATTAATGCACATGTGTACACAGGGGTTCGAATCACTGTTTGGACAATAATTTTTTAAAATAAACAAATCTACACTTTTGCAACCGTATATTGTTTTTATATGTTATGATTAGCATATATTTCAAATTTGAACGAAATCGGTGAGGAATTGAATATTTTAGAAAATTCTACTGCTACATTCATTACATAAAATACACACTTGTATTCTACCGCTACATTCATTACATAAAATACAAACTTGTATTCTACCGCTACATTCATTACATAAAATGCACTTGTATTCTACCGCTACATTCACTACAAGTGTGTATTTTATGTAATGAATGTAGCGATAGAATTTTCTGAAATATTCAATTCCACACCGACTTCGTTGAGGTCATAGGTAATGGGCCTTTGTAGACACTTTGTAGTTGTTTAAAGTAATTGTCTCTGTACCGCTGATATTTGTCACATCGGAAGAATACATGGTTTTCAGTTTCTGTTTCTGCGGCATCACAGAATGAACACAAGTAGATCGTACTTGGAACATCCTCATTAAAACTACACTACATTAAAAATACACAAGAATAGTGTGTATTTTATGTAATGAATGTAGCGGTAGAATTTACACAATGGTAGTTTTACACGAAACTGATCGCAATTCCAATGCATCTGTCATAAATTGAAAACAGTGCGATAATACGCATAATCGCTGTCACTGACGTTGACAGGGCGGTGGGCTAGCCGAGTGGTTAAAGCGTTCGCTCGTCACGCCAAAGACCCGGGTTCGATTCCCTACATAGGTACAATATGTGAAGCTTATTCTCGGTGTTCCCCTCCGTGATATTGCTGGAATATTGCTAACAGCGGCGAAAAACCAAACTCACTCACTTATTCATGATGTTGACTGTGAATAGCCAACATATAACCATCGCTAATCTGATCCATGTGTGATTTACTTTTGTAGGATTGCCAAGTTGAAGCTTCAAAATGACGTACGACATGAACCTTCCCAGAATCCCCTCAGTCGGGAATCGCGAAACCCGGATCGTGGTCAACTGTGTGTTTACTGTTGGAATAGTCTTGGGAAACCTGCTGGTGCTGTTTTTGGTCGTGAATTCCAAGAAGCTGCGAAGATCGTCCAAGTACATCCTAGTCGCAAGCCTCGCTTTCGCCGACATATCAGATGGAGGCTTTTTCCTGCCAATGTGGACGGACATCTTGATTGACCAGAAAATCAACTACAGCTGTTTGGCGCGCTATCTTTCTGGGGCCTGTGGCTACAGCACTGCTACAGTCTGTAGCCTTTCTGTAGTAGCACTCAATACAGACTTTACGTTTAGTAGGGGGGTCTGTCAGTACCGAGGGTGGTTACGAGGAGTCATTACGAGCATCCTCCTCATGCTTTGTTGGATCGGGCCGTGTGTGACGTTGGGGCCGTTAGTTGCCATGGGGATGAGAAACTCGGACCCAGTCCACTGTTTCTTTACCTTAGATGAAAATTCCACATTTTTTATGTATCTGGCTTTTTTCATTCCGTCTGGAGCCATAATTATTTCGTCCGGATTTGTGATATTTGTACACGTTAAGACGAAAGAGGGAGGCAACTCCTCGAACACGGATTTTCCTTACGATATCTTCGTTACGGCGTGCCTGACGTTGGTTTTTTATCTTCCCTTTGCTGTTCTACAGATGAATACCTACCACTGTCAGCCCGATCAGTGCTATATGTATTATATTTCAAGATTTATTGTTACTGGAAATCTTGTGTATGCGAAGTCGGCCATACTTCCATGGATCTGGCTGTGTAGTAAACGTTTTCGGGACGAGGTCAAGGACATTTTCTGTGACGTGTCAAGCTGAAATAATAATGGCTTTGACACCGGTGATCACTAATTTTATTCATGGTGAAATTATATTCATGCTATGTGGAAGGATTTTTTCATTTGATCTTTATTCATTCGTGCAGAAACGCGTTCATTCATTCATCTTTTGATTCACACATTCATTCACATGTTCATTAATTAATTGATTGATTGATTGATTTACGCCACAAAATGTTTCAAGTTATGACGGTAGTCGAATAATCGAGCCTTGAATCTTGTATTCGATCACCACGGTCCACAAACTATACCGGAAACACTTTAAAATCAATGATAATTCCGACTTTAAAGATGACGCAATTGGCTGTGAAGGATTACGTCCTCTCATTTTGCTGGAAACCAAACCGAAACATGAGTCTCATTAATCAATTCAGACAATGACCTACTTTTCAGCCGATCCGAATTTTCTCGTGTGAAAGTGAAAGAGACACTACAAACGACCATGGTTACACGAAATTCCAATTCCTTGTTTCACAAGAAAATGGTATTTACAAATTAAGCTTAATTTTAAAGTTTATTTTTTTTGTATTTTTATATTTTATGTCGAGGTTTAGGTAGCATGTCGTTAACTAAGACGTCACTGACTGCCCCTGTTTGAAGAGGTCGTACAATGATTCACAATTCATCTGGCTCACTGGTTACACCTGTCATGTGTTTTTTGCGCTTACTAAGTGTATTTTGGTAACGTACAATATGATTGATATAATATCAAGTCCGTACCAGACCGATAAACTTTTCAAACGGCAGAGCCTCGTTTTGAGATTTCCACGATTTTCAGATTTCCTTTTGTCAGAGCACGCTGTACTACAGAGCACGCTGCATGACGTGTTTGCAAAGATTAGAAGGAGCGTAATGTTGCAATATACAAGTGATTAGATGTATAATCTTTATACATCCAGTTGAATGAGTTGGTCTCAAAATTCCGGACTGGTTATTGTACTGAGATGCACAATAGGACGGAACCAAGTCAGCAGGAAACGAGACTGTTGTGTAATCAATGTTTTGAGGTGTATGACAGCACGTTGCAAAACTGGTATCCTTGATTAACCACGGTTCATGATCTTGATTTGTCAGCACAACCGGGCTACAATCTTTTATATGTTTCACGTAGGCACCATGATCATGCACTTGGGCCGGTCGGTCGTGCGGTCAAACAACATATAATGAGATTTTTTCGCATCTACATCTGAAGAGAAGACACAGTTATCTGTAGCATTATTATTGGATATTTATATAGCACACATATCCACGCACTAGTTCATGCTCAAGGCGCTGGTATTTCTTCCCTCGAAAATTGGATGTCAATTTCAACGGCGCATCTTATTCGCAATCTCAGCTCTCTGGGGATCATACAACTCTTGCTGCCACTAGGCGCACCGAGTTATTGCAGCTTTCCCATCCTTACAAGGTACCCATTCACAACTGGGTGGACTGGGACACATTGTCACAGTACTTTGTCCAGGTTTACTGCACGTTGCTGTATCCGCAACTAGGTGTTTGCACGTATTCATGTGGTCACCATCTGGTAATATACCAACGGATTCGTGGGTTCTTTTAAGTGCACAGGGTTGTGTACTGTACACTAGGGGTTGTGACAACACTGAAAGAGTCTGCACACAAAGTGGACTCCAAGGTTTTTACACCCGGTCACAGGTGGCCTCGATCCCGTAACCTCAACCTTGCTGGATCACTAGCCCACAGGCCCTCTTGTCTTTGCGAGGATTAAAGATGTTAAAAAAACATATAACATTTGAGATGACCCTCGACTCGAGTCGGGGGTGATCTCAAAAATATATTTTGTTAATCGTTAATCTTCGCAAGGACACGAGGGCCTGTGCACCAGCCTGGCGTCTTAGCCAGCTCGCCCACCACTCCCCCACGCATTGATTCTGCTTTCTTTGGAAGAGGGGAAAACACTGATTTATTCTGTTTTCTTTTATTTGAGGAAAATGCAAAATATATACAGTAAAATCATTAACTTCTCGTCAACTTAACATCTATCCGTCAGCAGCTGATCGAGTCATGCAAGCTATTTTACTGTCACTTCGTTTACTTTACTGACCTCAAATTGTCATTGTTTGTTTGACAAACGCGGGATTCAGCAATTCACAAGCTATATGGCGGCGGTCTGTAAATAATTGATTCTAGACCAGACAATCCAGTGATCAACAACATGAGCATCAGTCTACGTAACTGGGATACGATGGCATGTGTCGACCAAGTTTGCGAGCGTGACTACCCCATCCCGTTAGTCGCTCCTTACAAGCTTTGGTTGTTAAATTGTCTTGACTAATCTCGGCGAGTGAGTGATTGTTTCCGTTTTGCCTCACTCAGCAATATTCCTTCTAAATATAATCGTGGCTTACCGGGATTCGAACCAACAATCACAGGTCTCTGATGTACTGAAGAGACGCAACTCAGTCGTGCAAACGCATTTTTTTATCATTCGTTGAAACACAGCAAGGCAATCCTGACAATGAAATTACACGTGCACTTCGTGAGGTCCTTCCCATATAATGCACGTGTATAGAGAGCTCAGTAGCCAGTCCTAAACATGCCGCGACTGAATTTGCAGCAACGTGCACACGCTCTGGGACTCCTTGAAGCCGGCATTTTACAAAATGTTGCTAGGCGCCTTAATGTCCACCACTCCACCATTATCCGTCTAGTCAGTGGTCATCAGATGACAGGGAGCATTGCCGACCAGGACGACTTCCGGTTACGACGGCAAGACAAGAGCGACAGATGCGACTGGCGCACCTTCGAGATCGCTTCAGAACGGCAACAACAACAGCAGCAGCAACGACTGGTAGCCATGGAAGAATGATCCACCAATCGACAGTCATTCGACGCCTGAGACAGGCCGGACTGAACTGTCGACGTCCATACCGTGGCCATGTGCTTCAGCCCCATCACTGCCAAGCCTGACGTCAATTCGCACAGCAGTATGCGCAACAACAACAACTTTTCTTCCGGAGGCTTCTTCTTTTCAGACGAGTCATGGTATTGTGTGTCATTTGTGGATGGAAGACATGTTTACAAACGTCGTGGGGAACGTTTATGCAGGCCCATGTGTCAGACAGAGAAATCGATTTGGTAGTAGTAGTGTAATGGTTTGGGGGGCCATCAACGCACGTTTCAGGAAAGATCTCCTTGTCATCCAAGGAAATCTGACTGCACAGCGTTATGTGGATGAAGTCCTGAGGCCCGTAGTGGTTCCTTTGCTGCGCCGTCACCAACGCGCTCGACGTCCACTAACATTCCAACATGACAACGCCCGTCCTCATGCCGCCAGGGTGACACAAACATTCATTCAGCAAGTTGGAATCAGTGTGATGGACTCGCCAGCGTATTCACCAGATCTCAACCATATTGAGCATTTGTGGGATGAACTGGGGAGACGTGTTTATCGACGTCAGCCACCGCCAGCCAGCTTCGCACTGGCCTTGCAGCAAGAGTGAGTGAGTGAGTGAGTTTAGGTTTTACGCCGCTTTTAGCAATATTCCAGCAATACCACGGCGGGGGACACAAGAAATGGGCTTAACACATTGTACCCATGTGGGGAATCGAACCCGAGTCTTCGGCGTGACGAGCGAACGCTTTAACCACTAGGCTACCCCACCGCCCCTCTTGCAGCAAGAATAGAGGAACATTTCCATGGCCTTCATTGCTCGCCTCTGTGACTCCTTGCCCCATCGTCTCAATGCCTGCGTCAGGGCGAATGGCGGACACACAAGATACTGACAGTGTTTAAAGGGGTGACCTTGTTTGACCTTATCTGTACCACTCGCATTTGCTGATATCCATAACCATCATCATTGCTTACTACCCATGGCTTAAACTGTAAATGATTTTGTATCTAAACATTTGTTTTTTGTCACTTTATTCCACATCAAAATCAGATATGCGTTTTCATTGCGGGCCAGTATAAATTACATGAAATTGTTATTCATACAAGTTAAATATAGACCAGATCTGGCCCTTGATTGGAATCCTGAAACGTTTAGAATTCTAGGTATAATATTCTCAGTTGACAATGATAAGATGATAAACCTTATTTTTTCTAGTAAAATATATGAAACTGAACAAATAATTAAACAATAGATGAAAAGAATTATTACTCCATTTGGGGAGATAGCTATTACGAAGTCATAACTAATTTCAAAGTTAAACTTTTTCTTACTCTTCCAAATCCACGAGGAGACTTCCTTAAAATGCTAAATAGAATTCTTTTTAGTTTCCTTTCTGATAACAATCCAGATAAAATCAGAAGAACTGTTGCTTGTAAACCTGTTGCAGATGGAGGATCAGGAATGACTAATATACAGTCGGGCACCGTTGTGACGAACTCTGATAACTCGATATCTCGGTTGTCTCGATATAACATCGCGGTCCCAGCAAAATCCTTCATAATTTATCAGTATTCAAGCTCTTTAACTCGATACGGATGTCTCGATATTTCGGATATCTCGATATAATTTCATGGTCCCAACAAGCAAAATAACCAAATTGTATTTGCCTACGTTGATGCACAGTTGACATGGATAAAGAAATCGATTAATGATGATTATGCTCCAAGTGATACATAGGGTTAATAAACTGATATGTTATAATAACGAAATTGTCATCGCTACGAGCGATCAGAAACTAGGCGTCAACCCAGACGCCAACGTCTACAGGTGAAACGGGAATAGTGAGTCCTCCAATATGGCAAACCACACAGCGACCCGCACCGTCAATAGTGAGTGAGTGAGTGAGTTATTATTTAACGTCACATCGGCAATATTTCAGCCATATCGTGACGAGAACATATGTGACATTGAAATGAAATAGATGTATATTATAAAAACCTGTCGACGAAGGACGGTAATACAACTAGAATATCCTAATTACAACTAAAACTAGTGTGGAAAATTAAAACTAATAGCACTATTTGGACAATACAATATAAAAACTGGCTATAGATCGCCAACAACTGAAGGTAGATCACCATACTTGGGACCATGGGGACTTACAGTACTTTTGCTACCTGCATGGACCCTAGTTT